TACAAGTTTTCATTATGTAGCTGATTACGTATTGCACTGTATATTTGACTAGGTAAAATTGCTTTGCTATGTTTTCCAAATTTTTGCCATTTTCTCATTTTGTTTTCATAATTTTATTTAAATTTGAATTAATCATCATTCTATGTGACATTATGAAGTGTTTGTTGCTGAAACTTAAGGGAACACGGAATATAAAAGCTCTTTAAGTGCAGTCTCTTGATGCAGCATATAATTTGCATAGCTCACTATTTTTAAGGCTAGTTGTTGAATATCTAATGCTGGGTATCCTATCAATCTTATACTTTTGTACACATCTGGCTGGTAGTTGGTCTAAACATTTTGTTCAGTTGTGCCTATTACATCTGAGCTGTATATTCAGTGCTGTTACCATATCACTATTGTATGGATTATTGAAAGATCACAATGACTTCTGTATGCCTCAGTACGACTGCTGTTGTATATCTGGCATCCAATGCTGGACAATGCTGAGATTTCAACCAAATATCTTCAGCCAGATATCTGGTGTTTGGTTACCAGACAAACATGTGAATGCTCTCATAATAGCTCACATGCTTTGTAATTGGATATTGATGCTGGACAGTCTTGTCTGGTATGTTTGAAACAGCACTAAATAACCACTAAAGAAACATACAAAAACATCTGTGTCATTTTACAATTTGAAATTTTTTATTAATATAAGGTTCTTCTACATTGCAAAACATATTGGTGCAATAACTAAAATTCTATTTTACAAATTTTTACATATTAAACACTAAAATATTCCAGCTATTTGTACTTTTTTAAATTCAATTTTCCTTCAGTTATCTTGGTCTGTACAAAATACTATGATGTTGCTTTTGTATTATATATACTGCATGTGAGCATTGCTGACAAAGCTGAGCCATAGTTATAGGGGCTATGACTACTGCCCCTATAATTACAACTCTGAATATAAGATTGCAATTCCTCAGCCAGGATGTTCCAATTAAAATAAATTTATAATCCTGTTTATTAAGATCTAAAAGCAACAAAGTCATAAGAAAATAAATCTTTACAAGATACTGACTTATAAATTGAAATAAAATATTTCTTTCCTATAAATTCTGTGTTTAAATTTATCAACTTCCTTAAAAATAATCATAAGAAAATTTATATTTTGGTAGGATTACTTCATAAACAAATCAAAAGTTTCTAAAGAAAGATTTAATTGCAATTTGTGGATCTGCTTTTTTCTTTCAGAAAATTAGAATATCAACCATATATCAATCACAGGGCATAGCAAAAAAATTGTTCTTGTTAAAGAGGAATATTTGCCTTTAAATAAGTCTATATATAATAAAATAATATGTAAAAAAATTTGTTAAGTTAATAAAATTTTTTTTTTAAAACTTAAAGATGACCTTTCTGAGGAAATTTAGAATAAAGTATAATTACAGTTGTCCCTCTATAGTCCGACATTTTTTAATCAGACATGCTCAGTAGTCTGACGCACCTCCCGTCAAGGTACCCGTCCCCATTACGTGTCTGCTTGCACAGAAGCATGTTGCGATGTGAATCTCCCCATCCAATTCTTACTCGATGACACACATTTCGTGTGTTTTATGTGAGCAGTTCTGTTCGAACAGTTGGAGTAGAGAATATTGTAAGTTACTGCTAGCAAAACAATGCGAAATATGTAATTATTTTCGGTAATCCGAACACTTTTGGTAATCTGACACACCTTTGGTCCCATACCTGTCGGATTATCAAGGGACAACTGTACTTAAGAAAATTTATGCTGGAGAGAATATTAGCACAGTTAAAAATCTCTAGGTTTAACTTGTAAAAGAGACTAAAAAAATATAACAAAAAATGTAAAAGATGCTAAATTTTGAAAACATACATCATCAAATTCCTTGGGTATTTATTCAAAAACAAAAGTTACAATTAGAGTGACCCCTGAAAATGAGCTTGGCCAACTCAAAAGCAGTTGAGTGTTAGAAGATAAACTGTTTTCTTAGGTTTATATCCAAAAAATAGTTTGTTAATATAAAACTTTCAAATAATATTAAAAGTTAACATTTAGAAACATACTAAAATATTTATTGTTAAGTTCAAGAAGCTTAAAAAATTACATTAATCACTCCTTAATTAAAGAATCACAAAAATATTAGACTATACTAATTTTTTGTTGATATTGCTTTCAGTGCCACAATTGAAAAATAGATTTAGAAAAGAAGCATTCATCCAAACAATAACTAATAAACAAACCTAATATTCATTCAATCACTTAACAGTTAAACTACAGTATGTTACCATTATAAAAGTCATCATAAATGAAACTAAACCTCATTAAATTTATAGATGTGAAAAAATTATATATATATATATATAATTTTTTCTTTTAACTAGGTTTTAATATATTGAATAAAATTTTTATTGCCTTTTCAATAAAATTTGAAACAGTTTTTTAAAGCTTAGTTTGAATGCACTATAAATAAAAAACATTATCTTACAATATACTGTACATTTAAGATGAAGAGTTCTTTAAAGCAATTACAATAATTTGAATTCACTTATTATGTAAATTTTCAAAAATTCTAAACATTAATTTGGTAGAAAACAATATACATTAGGAAAATGTTTTACATGTAGCCAAAAAGTCTTAGAAATAAATGAAATATGCATATGTATGTTTACTTCATTATATGAAAGTTTATTTACTTAAGTTAAAAATTTCAGTAAATGAACATTATTATAAATTGTAATTAGTTCACCAATTTTTAAATTACATTACCAAGTTTAATAATGTGAATTTTAAAATTATAAATAAAATTTTAAAATTTGATGATTATGTTATCATTTATATATGTTCCAAGATTTAAATTATATAGTTTACATCCTATATAACAAAAATTTGCTTTGTTGAAATTTACCCTAAAAGTAATATTTAGAGATCCAATATAGCAGATTTTTGTGTATTTTAAAGTAATTTGGAGTTTTTCTTTTCCATTATAAATGTTTTATAATGGAACTGTATAAATTCCTTTTTAAATTTTACTATAATATAAAAAAATCATTAATTAAATTTTAAAGGGTAGAATATATACATACATACATATATATATATATATATTACACATTGATACTCATACATTAATTAAATTCAAAAAATGGTAGTTTGTATCAGTTATAAATTTCAAAAATTTAAATATTTTTAAAGAATCATTTTTTTCAAACTTGAAAATTTTAAGTTATTTAAAAAAAAAACTCATCTAATTTATCAATGATTCAATAAGCTAAAAATAATTTAATAATTTTTTTGATTATTTAATCTAGAAACTGTTAATTTCACATAAAAAATAATTTTATTAAAAAGAAAAATCTCATTTTTTTAGAATATCAATTCCTCGAAGCTTATTAAAATATTTAAAACATTACTTTTTAATATTATGCCCGATTCTTATAAATCAATCACTGCTGAACTCTAAATAAAATAAAAATTCAAAATATTTGAAATAATAAGTTACTTTGAAATTTTAAAATGTAAACTATTATGATTCCATTTAATTATATTAAACAAATCAATTATTCATATAAGATTAACTATTTCTTATTTCATAAAAAGTGTATTTAAGAAATTTTTTAAAATGCATAACATATATATATTTATAATTCTAAAAAAAAATTAAAAATTTAATAAATATCTTATATAAAAGATATATATTATTAAATATTTAT